ATATATATATATATATATATATTATAGACCTATGAATTTAATAATTAAAGTGATTTAAATGAAATTTTTTAATAATTAATATTATTAATTTAATAACAAAGATGTGAAAACCAAGACAACCAAAAATGTGAAAAGATGTGCAAAGATTTGTTGTTTACTATTCAAAGAAAGACAAAGAAAAAACGTGCCATCTAACCTCTTCCATAAATTATCTTTTGACACCTCAAAGTCTAAACAACCATAGTATAACTCCAAAAATCCAATACTTCTCTATTTCCAACAAGATGTGCCAACTTTGAAATAATAAAATAACATTAAATTTTAATACAAAATTGGGTGTCTTATGTCAAGATATCATTACCCAATTCTTTTAAATAAGAACTCCATAGTTTTTTGTTAAAATCAGTAGAAAAAAGCAATTCCTTCAACTCATTGAAGATGACATTAAGTATTCCCTACCCAAACGCCATTTTATAATTTGCGGTAAGTAAATTATATACAAATGTAACTAATTTTATATAAATAATGAATTCTTCTATGTTTTATCCATATTTTTTCTTTATTTTGTAATTTGTGAATTGGTATAATCACTAGTAAAAAAAGAAGCTTTTTAACGCGCTATATATGCTTCAGTTTTACTGAAACCGAAGTGTATAAAAACGCGGTGGCATTTTTGTAGTTTTAGACAACTTATATACTTCGGGTATCAGTAGAACCGAAGCAGAAAAGTTTTTCAACATCTGTTACGCGCCAACTGAGGCATATAACCCGTATATTTTTTAAATTTTAATTATTTTTCGAAACTTTAGGCATCGGGTATCTTGAAACTGAGTCAGTATGCCTCTGTTACCTCAGGTAAATATTAACCCGAGGCAGTATACTCATACATATTACCTTTTTCACTCTTCCTCTTCTTCTCTCTCGCTCAGATCTCCTTCACTCTTCCTCTTCTTCTCTCTCGCTCACGCTCAGATCTCCTTCTCACCTTCTTCTCTCTTCTCTCTCGCTCAAATCTCAAAGCCACCACTCCGCCGCTCCGCCGCTCCGTTGCTTTGCTTTCACGGTACCCTTCTCACTCTTCCTCTTCTTCTCTCTCGCTCAAATCTCCTTCTCACAGTTCCTCTTCTTCTCTGTTCTCTCTCGCTCAAATCTCAAAGCCACCACTCCGTGTTCCGCCTCTCCGTCGCCACCACTCCGTTGCTCCGCCGTCGCCACATCTCCTTCAACGCCGTCGCTCCGTTTTCGCTGCCGAAAGCCATGGCTGCATCCCACCCTGCAACCCCATCCCGTCACGCCTCCCACCCCGCAACCCCAACCCGTCACGCCTCCCACCTCGCAACCCCAACCCCACCACCAATCGCCACCAAACCGGACGCGATCTCACTCCATCAGCGGACACGATCTCAGATCTAGTGTTGTTCGTGGACCGCCTGGTGCGGCCCGTGCCAGTGGTGGAGCCGCTGGCCTAGCACCCGGTCCAGCCCCCTTCCGAGCCCTCAACCACCGTGGATGAAGCTGTTGTGGGATCGTCCGGCTCCGCTTCGAAGGCCGAGGATGGCAGCGTCAATGAGGATGACGGCTGGGTTCTACCAATTGAAAAGGTGACTTTTTGTACTGGGAAATGGGGGAGAAGGAAGGAGCTATCTTGAACTATTATGGTGGAAAATGGGGGCCGAGGATGGCAACGTCAATGAGGATTTTCTTTCATTTTTTTCCATTTGTTATGCTGGTTTTATCTGCTCTGTGATGTATCCTTACTCTGATTTTCTGATTTTTGGTTTTATCTGCTCTATGATGTATCCTTACTCTGATTTTCTGATTTTTGGTTTTATCTGCTCTGTGATGTATCCTTATTTTGATTTTTGGAGTTGGTTTGTGTTTTTGAATTATAACTGAAAATGCTTGAGTTCGAATTCTATATTGAGACATGGCTGCTGTATTAAAGGATTGAGGAAAAGACCCAAAAAATGGTTCAGCAGTTTTCTGAAATTTTTTTATTGAATTTTCTAAGATACTGACTCGGTTCAAAAGAGAATCGAGGCGAAAACCGATCCCTTTTTGACCCGATTCAGAACCGAGGCATTAAACTTATCCTTTTTACCTCGCCTCTATATGTTTCGGTTGTAGAACCGGTGCATATAAGCGAAACTAACCGATGTCATTTCCGTTTATTGCACTGGTGAATATTACATAGATGCTACGTAGTTATCACATATAGTGTGAAGTTAAAAATAGACTTTTATGCTGATATTTATCATATAACATATCAATTGATATGTATAGTGTGAAGTTAAATTGCCATTAAATCTAACTTGACAGTTACACATATAAACTTAATAAACTTAGCATTGTTATATATTAACCAAATATAATGGAATTTACAATTGAAAGAACTGTAGTAAGTTAACCTATAATCCGGATTGAAACCTTTTGTTTGGATTCAGATTGGACTTATAAAACATGAACTAATGCTTCTTGATGCTCACTCATCACTCTAGTTTGAAGTGCTTTTCAATGGTTCCTAGAAGAGTGGAATTAATGTAATCTTGGGGACAATGAGCAGGTAGACCAGGTATTACTATCCCTATAGCCCTGAAACCAAACAGAATCCATCCTTCTCTGTAATAAGGTCCACTTTGGTACACAATAACGAAACTCCTTACCAGCTCCAAGATTGCGTTCAACATCATAGGTATAACGCACCACGGTGAGAAGTAGTTCTTATTCGGTTGTTCTTCAAGAACCTGCATTCAAATACAAATATAAATACACTCTCAACAATTACTAAAATATAAGATTGATTATTTATTTTGTAATTAAATAACAATTATAACTATCATATACCTCAAGTTCATAGCGCCTGTTAAAGAAAAGACATGTCCTAAAGTGCTTGAACATCATTTCCTGATCATCGTAGGGCAACCTCGGAACAAGGTCGTTGCAGTAGACAAACCTAAAATACCTGACATAATGTTCCTTTAATTTTCGTTTCATATACTTTGCATACACTTCATCTCCAACCCTTGGTTGCCCGAAGGTGTAGATCCCTTCCAACCTCTCCAACAGCAATGTCTCTTGGTGCAAACACAAGATCGTCCCAAACAGTATTGAGAGTGCTCCTCCCAAACTGTGCCCTGTCACTATGAACTTTGCTTTCTCGTTTTCACTCAAAGCTTTTCTTAGAATGTCTCTGATGAGGTAGTAGGCTAAGGGAGGAAGACTCTCGTCTCGTTCTCCAACTTCCTTTGTCCATCCAACGTTTTTCTGTAGCCCTAAGGCTTTCATAAACCCACCATGCATTCTTCCAACGCCGGGAATTCCGTACCAGGAGATGTCCAGATCAGTGCACCATGCATCAGCATCGAACGGCTCCGTTCCTCTGAAAGCTACAACATATGTCTGCTGATCTTCATGCTTATCCAAAACAATTAACACTTGAGTTGTCGTCTTTCCTTGATACTCTGCCAGTGCAAGTCAAAAACATTACTAAAACATTCTAAACGTTAAAAGGATCGATGTTTTATTCTAACCATGTTAAATTAATTGTACGAGACTTGTTCAATTTCAAAACTCTCCATATCAAATTTCTGAATTAAAAACGTCTGCTAGTTATTAGTCTTTCTTTTTCTTTTTCTTTTATTTTTATCAGTCATAACTAATAATAAAATTTTAAAATATGAGATATTAGAGATGTTAAGCTGTGTATAGAAAAATATTAATAGATAAATATACATAAATTATATAAATAAATAAGTAGGTTTTGAAATCAAGATCTTATTCTCAAAAACTAATTTTAAAAAAATAATTTTTCACATAACAAATATTATATTATGATGTAATTTATGATATTTTTAAACTTAAAACATTATAAAATACTATTCAAATTCTAGAATTTTGGCTATAATATGTTAGAATTTAATTTGAAAAGTGTAGGATATGGTTTGAGTTCTTACCATTCATGCAGTTGTAAAGTCCCACAAATTCCATCTGTTAAATTCAAATCAGAAAACAAATGTAATTAATTAGAGACACGTCAAAATGAACTTGAGGATAAAAGGATCCGAGAGGCAACAATTTAACGTTTACGATTCTGTTAGGGTCAATTTTGTTTAGTTGATTTATGTAACTCAGCGAAGGATTTTTTTTTCATTGAAAAACTGCTTATTAAATCATAAAATTAAATTTCCATAATGTTAAAAAAAAATCATTTTAATCATTTATACATGAACAAAATAATTATTTAATACCTTCCATTTATCTTCCACAGTAGTTTTAAGGAAAGCTTCGTTCTCGTAGGATGCTTTGGAAGCCATCATAGAAAGTGCAGGATAGTACTTAAAATCTCCAGGCGTAGCATCCAACTTTACTCGCACATCCAAATTTCCGATTAAAGACAAATACTTTTCTGATTTAGGATCGGGAAAGACCAATGCACCTGCTTATATAAATATATATTCTTTTATTTACAATATATACACACATTAAATGGCATAATCATATTTCCACGACCAAAAAGCTCATCAAACTTATGAGATTTTATCTCTCACAATACCTGCGCGCTTTTTCTTAATTTTTTTTTTCTGCTGTTATTACATTCGTAATTTGGTTTTTACATAAATAATTATAGTATCACTTTTTATATTTTAGATTTTATTTTAAATATTTTGTTTATAAAATGAGTGAAAATATAACTAAAGTGGTTAGAACAGCCAACTTAGACCTGGTCCAATTTAACGAGGAATCCGAAGAACCTGAAATAAAAGTTAAACAGGGCTCCTAAAAAACTAAGCTTGAAAACGTAGAGACTATTAAGCTCTGCCTACTTGATTTGACCGGTCAAACTAGAATCCTAATATAATTACGACCTTAAAAAAATATAGAGATATTTTGCTTGACTTTTTTTTTTAATTTTATTTTTACTAGATTTATATATATGTAACGATTTTTTTTTTCTAACTAGGATTCATTCACCCGTTGACCCAGAATAGTGCAAAGCTGGAGGACCCTAGATTCTAACTCCGATGGAATTAATTCTAATGGCTCTGATTCTTCACTTTGGCTACATTGCTTGCTCTCTTTTTTTTTTTATCTCTTAAAAGCGATACATCTCAATAATCGAGGGTCAAATCAAGTTTTAAAAGTGTTAATTTGTTTCTTAAAACAAAGCAAGGGTTATACCAAGTATGCTATGAAAATCTCGTGTCGAAATTTGAATGTTTATAAGTATATTTGATTTCAGGTTAAAAATCAATTATGAGAGTTCATTTATTTATTTTAAATCGAAATCATTTAAGTTAAATTCATGTTTATATAAAATTGTTTAGAGGTTGGAATTTTCTTACCAATTTTATAACATGTTAACAGAGAGGTTAGGAAGAAGGCCTAACCTTTGAAAAAGTTAGGAAGAAGCCTGAATACGCCACCATTGAGTGCAATGAAGTTGATAAAAAGCTCAACGCCAGCTCCAAAGAGTGACAATGGTTTAGCCACAAGCTGCAAAAGCTTCTGAGCCAAAATAGAAATAAATATGAGCCATCGATGACCCAAAGTTTCATTGAAATCATCCGCTGCATGGCTTTCCACAAACTTCCTTTGCGAAATGTTTCTGAAAGTTAAGATACGGAGAAGATCAAAGTAACCTGCTTTCTCGGGCTTCAACAACATGTAACTGTCCGCGAAGCCCTTGTTGCAGTTGCAATTGGTTTCCATGGCGTGGGAAGCAATAAGAAGCAATAGTTCAAGGATTGAGTTTTTCTGTTAGCTGTGTTCTTTTCTAACAAGCTCTTTCTTATTTATATAGAACCAAGGGAAGTTTCGCAGTAAAAGAAATAAATAATTAATAGGTAGTAGTAGAACGTGAAGACTGCTTCTTTGAAAAAAAAAAGTGATTATATTGAATCACATGGGGTTTTAAAAATCTTGATGTTAGAACTTTTCTTCCCTTTTTCTTAAAGTCTAACGAGGAATAGAAGAGCCATCAAACCGATAATGGGTCAACGGCTAACATGAACATGAAGACGAAATTATCATTGTGTAGTGGCATTAGAGGACCCATAGTACTGTGTGTTGTTGAATAGGGTGATGAACAATATGAAGCATACTATGGTAAAAAAATATATCATCTTGTTAGACCTATCTCTCTCTCAACATGGGAAGCTATGATAGAAGTCATCATACTGGGGAAGAGCTCCAACAATACAGCAGAGAAAGTTGGCAAATTTCAAATGAATAACAAGGAGCGTTTTATCAATTATTTCGTTTCCTCATTAACTATATGGTAAGGTTGATTTATTTGAGATAGAGGAGAGAGGTTGCTGGAAGTATTTCTTTCCAGGAAATTAAACCAAAAGGACAAAGATTTGGCTTTGTTAGATTCTCTGTGTTGAGAATGGTGTTGAACTTGAAAGTGAATTGGGCAAAATTTGGACCGGAAAAATAAAACATTCATGTTAATACACAAAAGTACACAAGGCATGAGGAATCAATTAGTGGTGGAAGGAAAAATTAGTGACGGCTGGATTCTTAATCGAACATTGGGATGTGATCTTTAATATATCATAATTAGAAAATAATTATATTTTATAATGGATAAATAGAAATACAATGGACAATTTTATTTTGTCAATAAATAGGTCAAGTTCTCAAATTATTAATGATAGATTGAGAGTTTATATATATATATATAATTATATATATATATATATATATAATATATATATTATATCTATATATATATATATATCTATATATATATATATATTATAATCTAGTGGTGTGTGCGCGCTCTATTGTAAAGATATAATAAAAGTATTTTTATTATATTCATGAACTCAGTTACTCAATCATATGTAAATGTGCTCATATTTCTTTATTTATATATTCTGATGTTAATTAATTGAAATAATATCTCACCAAAGTTACTTGCAAATTAATTTATTTTAAAATATAAAAAGTTCATGAGCTTGAGATATGTTTCTAGCATAATTGATATTATTATGTTTTTATTATGTTATTTTTTATTGGTATTTTATTTATCATTTTTTAAATAAATAAAGCTTTATTTAATAATTTTGAAAATAAAAATATTTGATCTTTATTTGTGAAATATTTTGTATAAAAATGAAAATCTCAAAGATTTAAGAAAATTATCAACAAACTAGGATAATTGAATTAACAAGAGAATAAGTTAATTAGAGTTAGATACCTTAATTTCAAATTCAAAGCCCAGTCTAGTTTGATCCATTCGCTCAATGGAAGAGAGATTTGATGTGCAGTTCTCCAAACCGCGTTCTGAAAATCTTTAAATAGAAAACTTTATAGAGTTTTATATCATTCTTTTGGAGAATAGGAAACTAGCCGTAGAGAAAGAAAGACGACAAAGATGTTTTCTAGAGGCCAGCTAAAGTCACCCATTATAATCATTATTTTTCATATTTCTAGTGTTCAAAATGTATATGAGTAACTAATTCCATTAAGTTGGACGTAATATATCTTCACTTTTTATGATTTTTACTATTCAATATACTTATTTTATTGAGATAGAACAATTAATAGTTTGCCTCTTGACATAAAGTGTAATCAATTAGTTATTTTAAACATTTGAATATCTCGACTTAATGTGAACTTTTGATAAATTATCTAAGAGTTTAGAGATTTTACTATTAGGGTTTAGACTTGCCTCTAAGGAATTAAGACTTGGTAAATGCTAGAGTAAAAATTACAGATATATTGTTTAGTGTTTTCATATTTATTTGATACATGAAATCTAATCTCAGTGAAATTTCTTTCATATAGTTAATTTCATTAATATAGTTAATTTCATTAATTTAGTTATTTTTTAGTTTATCAAATTATTTTATTAGAAATAAATACTTTTTATTATTCAAAGTTCTTACCTAGTCACCAAACAACCACAAAAACTTGTTATATTAATAAATATATCAAATCGTACAAGTAGTAAAGCATATAAGTCCAAATGTCTCTCTCAAGAAACTCGTATTGTTTTGAAAATTATGATTATTTAGGGATTAGTAAAAAAACTTTGATTCCAAATGAAAATTATTGATTTGTGAATAAAATAAATATAATTTCTAGAAAAGATTGAAATTGATTAAATGAAATATATGGTAAAGACTTCACGAGAGTTGATTTTCCTAATTAAATTCAATGTGAAAACACTAAGCAATATACCACTAATTCCTACCATAGCCTTCACACCACTATTTAACAAGCCCTAATTTTTTAGAAATAAGTCTAAACCTTAATATTAAAAATCATAATCCCTTATATATTTTTACCAAAGATTTGTATTATACATTAAAGTCAAATGTTTAGAATGATTAATGACTAAATCTTCATAATCTATTAGTTATTCTATCATAATATATGTTGTGACATCGTATCCAATAATTAAATATTCACAAATATAAAATCAATCAATTATTATAAAATTAAGAACGAGAATAAAACATAAGCAAAATGAAAAATAAATATAGTGAATTGTAAAAGTCATAAAGAGTTCAGATATATTATATCCAACCCCATGAATAATGATGAATGCTCCCAACCTCCCGAACAGGTCTTACTTTTTCTCTTCTTTTAGATCAAGTTCTTTCTCTTCGAAAGTATTATTTTTAACTGTGTAATGTCTTCTATTTATAAATTTAGCAAAACACACAACTTATTAGACGAATTAAACACTACTCACTAGATGAACTGGTCTTGATTTTGTACAAAGTAAGAAACTCTATCAGTAACTAATTTTGTTAATATATCTTTAATCTCTAGTTACTTTTACTTATCAGCAATATTATAAAAAATCTTGAAATTACTGGCAGATATATTTCTGTCCATAAATTAGACTTATCGACGAATTTCAATTTTTTTGTTATTGATAGAAACATTATCGATGGATTCTACTGACAGATCATTCTGTCAATAATGCATATTGCACTTTCCGACGAAATAATTCGTTAGTAAATCTATTGATAAATGAGATATACATTACCCACGAAATTCATTGATAAATCTGTTAGTAAATGAGACATACAATATTCACGAAAAAATCAGTCAATAAATTTGTCAGTAAATTGGACGAGAATTTTCCCATCCATTATTTCATTTAACGATGGATTTTTTCTTTGGTATATAGGTAGGAAAATTCCCGCTCATTATTTTACTTACCCTCGGTAAATGAAATATACATTACCAAAGGAAAATTCGTCGATAAAGAGAGTGGGAATTTTTCTACCCATTTTTCTCTTTATCCGCGAGACCGTGTATATATATCTCTCTCACACACATTTCTTCCTTATTTGTGCGAGGGAGTTTCTTCTTCTCCTACTTCTCCATCATCTACTCCATCTTTTTCTTCTCTTCCACTCCATTGCAGCTACAAATCAATATCGCCTTCATCTCTGTTCAACAAGGTCGTTACTCCATTCAATCAGGTCGCCTTCATCTTGGTTTAGCTAGGTCGTCCATTTTCTTTCTCTTTCATGAAAACAATGCAACTGCACACTGCCACCATCACGCAGTGCCACCACCGTACACTGTCACCACCTCACAGTACCACTACCGTACACTGTCACCACCGCATGCTTTGCTCTAAGTTTGGTCAACACCAAAGTTTATCATTGTCTTTCATGTATTCAATCTTATGTATTGGTAAAAATGAAAAAAAAATATGAAACAAAACGGAAGAAGAAGGAGAGCGAAGAAAAAAGATGAACCAGATCGTGATATTTACCGGCGAATTTACCGACAACAATTTTATCCACGAACTTTTTATTGTTGATAATTCTAATTTACTAACAAATTCTACACATTATCGACGAATTTTAACGGTCGATAATATTAATTTTTATTGTAAACCAAATATTTATTTTTATCAAATTATTAAATAAAATCTTAATTATCTAAAAAGTAATAAATAAAAATATCAATAAAAATAAGAAATAAACATAATAAAAATATGACAATGTCAAATATTAAATGTTCAAAATTTAAACATTTTCATGTCTACATAAAAGATAAAATTATTAATCAAGAAAAACTCATGAAAATAAGAGGAAAAAGGAAGTGGAGAAATCAAATCATGAGAAAATCCATTACAAAAATATTTCGGTACTGAAAACATAAACACGGATAAGAAGTTCCTTGCAAAACCTTATTTCAAAGAAACAGTTGGGTAAAGAAAACTTCAGGGAATATAACATGAAGATATTGCATATCACTTTAAAACAAATGCACTTAAATTAAAAGCCTTTTTGAAGACTTGTTGGATTTAGTCTTGTTTATCTTGTAACAAAGTTTAGTCAGTTTAAGAAGAAAAAATGGTATGGCTATGGCCGAGTTTATTCTTAACAAGAATAAAAATAATATGCCAGAAATGGAAGGAAACAAGCAATATCCGATAAAAACAAATATGATATAAAAGGAAATAATTATAAGATAGAATGTTGATATATGGATGGCTAAGTTGAAAAATCTCTTCAAACTTTTGTTGATATTATAAGAAAGCAAAAGGATGAGAGATCTCTTAGAAAAACTCCACTAAAGCAAGCAACATTCTTACAAAAACTAAAAAAACTATACAAAGTTAAAAAGAATTTGTATTTAAGTGTTGCGTCATTCTTATCCTAAATGTGGACGGTAGACTTCTCTACCACGAAGTCGTCTTGGAGCATCCTTATTCTAACCCAGAATAATCTAATTATTATAAATAAATAAATAACTACAAACTACGTA